ATTCTGACGCCAGTACAGTACACTGAGATATTTTCTCTTCTACACGATGCCTTTATTTTTGTTTATGTGTTGTAGAGATGGAATCTCACTATGTTGCCCAGGCTGGTCTTGAACTCCGGGCCTCAAGTGATCCTCCCACCTCAGCCTCCCAAAGCACTAGAATTACAGGCATAAACCACCGTGCCTGGCCTTTATTTATGTATTTATTTATTCATTCATTCATCCATTCATTCATATTTAATTTTGAGACAGTGTCTCACTCTGTCATCCAGGCTGGAGTGATCACAGCTCTCTGCAGGCTCAAGCGATCGTCCCACCTCAGCTGCCTGACCCTGTCTTTTTTTGTAGAGACAGGGTCTCACCCTGCTGCCCAAGCTGGTCTCGAACTCCTGGGCTCAAGCAATCCTCCTCCCTCAACTTCCCAAAGTGCTGGGACTATACGTATGACCCACCTTGCCCAGCCCCTTTTATTTTAAATGCTAACTGTATTTCACCAGAGATCTCATCACTCACTGAATCATGACCTGCAGTTGGAAGAACACCAGTGATGATGCTGAGAGTGGCTTTGACCCTCTCATAAGCTCCTTTGGCACCCTAAAACCTCTTCCCAAATGAACACACCACTGAAGTGAGAACATTGAGCTTGCTCTGCAAATTTGGCCTCAGGACTCATCTCCTAGCCCCTCACTTCTGTCTAACCAACTTCAGCCCTGAGCTATTCTGGGGCAGTTTCTGACAGGTATATATACATATAGATACAGAAAAATATATACATGTACATACACATATATATACATATACATATATACACATATACATATATACATATATATATGCACATATGTACATATAAACGCATATATACATGTATACATATATACATGTATACATATGTACACATCTATACATATACATATATACACATCTATACATGCATATACATCTATACACATCTATACATGTATATACATATATACACACATGTATACATGTATACAAATACATATATACATATGTACATATATACACGCAGACACATATACATATACATATATACACATATGCACATATACATATATGCGCATATATACACATACACACATATGCACATATATACATATATACACATATATACACACGTATATATATACACACATATATATGGATCCACCCTTTTTTTAAAAACAGCAGTAGAGGCTGGGTGTGGTGGCTCACACCTGTAATCCCAGCACTTTGGGAGGCCAAGGTGGGCAGATCACCTGATACCAGGAGTTCGAGACCAGCCTGGCCAACATGGTGAGACCCCATCTCTACAAAAATACAAAAAATAAACCAGACATGATGGTGGCCACCTGTAGTCCCAGCTACTCGGGAGCTAGTCGGGAGGCCGAGGCAGGAGAATCACTTGAGCCTGGAAGTCGGAGGTTGATTTTTGTCCCCCAAATAGAAGAATAACAGCTGACATTTTTTTTTTTTTTTGAGAAAGAATCTTGCACTGTTTCCTGGGCTGAAGTGTAATGGCACGATCTTGGCTCACTGCAACCTCTGCCTCCCAGATTCAAGCAATTCTCCTGCCTTAGCCTCCCGAGTACCTGGGATTATAGGCACCCACTACCACGCCCGGCTAATTTTTTGTATTTTTGGTAGAGATGGGGTTCTGCCATGTTGGCCAGGCTGGTCTCGAACTCCTGACCTCAGGTGATCCACCCGCCTCGGCCTCCCAAAGTGCTGGGATCA